TATATATATATATATATATTTGTGTGTGTATATGTTATTTTGCGAGCCTTATACGCGTTGTAGCCAACGGGTTCATCAAAAGGCAATGCAGTGGGCCGTCACCTTGATAAGTACTATTGTCAATAGACATTACCTGTGTCCCGCACAGGTATCACAGGCGCCAAAGCAGCTGTTGCGTGGGCAGAAGAAAGAGAGGCTTACATTGGCACAAGAGGGTTTGCAACGCTGCCAAAATGATGTAGATCGGTTCGCAGAGTCCATTGCTATCGCAGATGAACCATAGTTTCTGATGTTTAGCGTAGAAACCAAGAACGAAATGATGCAGTGGAAACACGCACTCTCTACATCCCTAAATTTTGCGTGCAGGTATCCTCCAAAAATGTCGCCTGACGCCATGTTTTGGGACTACAATAGCATGATATTAGCCTGCCCAGTTTCCAAATGTATTTCTGTCGCAGGCCAGTCGCAAGAAACTATCCTTGAGTTTTGTAATGCACTGATGCAACCCTTCAGCAGAAACCTCGCACGCCTTCGGCGCACGACAACAACTGTTTAATGATACGCATGCACATCATGGTCACACTACTAGCACAGGCGTTTTTGCTGGCCGCTTTACAACAAACTCGTGTTCACCGCTGCGCCGTCCGGACGTTATTGTGCAAAAATCTTCGAGAAGGGAGAGTGGGCAGAATTAATCTCTCGCATAGGTTATGCGCGTGTCGAATAAGCACATTGAAGAAAGCGTGTCTGATATATGTCACGCATGAAATCTAAGAGGAAGGATGGTTTTGATGAAATACTGTGGTTGTGTCAGCCGTGGTAAAATTGTAAATACGCCCCTGCTACAAGGACTACAGAACACATGCCTTTAGAAAGGTCAATATAGTGCTGCCGATAAATGTATTCAAGAAGGCTCGTCTCGACCTTTCCCGTTTCCCGCTCTTCGCACTTTTGCTCCCGGCACCAGTTTGCTTTTTCTCCATACAAGGTGCCAAAAATATAAAAAGATGTTGTTTTAGGGCAGGGCGCCGTTTTGGCCTAACACGAACCAGCCGAATGTCCAATGTGCGAAGCTTTTTTGCACATTGTGAGGTCTTTTAAAACCAATCACTGACATTCATTACACCACGGGAACTTATTAAAGGACGTTTTAAAGTTTGCTTGATAACGTCATGTAGCCAGTACCTCCAGGTATCTCAAGGTCACTTATCCGCTAGATCCGAGCAAGGAATCACAATTGTTGAAAAACAGGAACCGAATGCCTTTCGTGCTCATATGAGGCCTTGGTTGAGTTATTTCTGAGCCAATGCAATGAAGAACATGAATTGGTAGAGAGCCCATCTCGACTTGCAAAACACACCCATTGGAATGGCTGTCTGTGCATCCAGGGCTTATCGACATTACTAATCTCAAGACTTGGCAACATCTGGTGCAGTTTGGTATGGCATACCTGACGCTGGCGTTTCGCTCGTCGTGCGACTCACAGATCTGCAGATTTCGTAACCTACACGGATGACAAATGGGTCCTGAGCCAATACCGCAAAGAACATGAACGATCCTTGCCAACCCAATCAATCGGTGTCACCCGACCCCTGAGATCGAAACGAAATTTCGTGTACGTGGGCCTTATGTAGCTTTCCACACGATTCTGAGAAAATGAAAGCAATTGGGTCTACCGTTTTGGAGTATTGGTATACTTCTTCCATTTCATGTTTAGAAAAAAGGTAAGTTGCAAGCAATGGTAGCTGGGAAAGTGTTCATCACAGCGTTAAATATCAACAACGCAGTGATAGACCGTAAGCGCGGCTACATTTTACGCACCGTTATAGTAGACAAGTATGGGGCATATATGTTGAAATTGATTTAAAATTTTCAAAATTGAGTTATAAAGATAGCGAGTATTTGAATTAAAAAAGAGATGATTTTTGGGCAATCCACACATGTTTACGCTGTATTTACGAAAAAGTCGCCCCGCGTATCTCCATACTCCGGCGCGCACCGCTTCGGTACTTCCGCGCGCAGCAGTCGGCCGTCGCTCCCAACAGCGCCCCTTCCTCCTAGCGGGAGAGGGTGCCTGACGAGGTCTGATGCTTCGCGTGGGGTAGGGAAGGGGCAGATGTTGGCTGACACACATCGTTACCGACTTCAAGATGGATTCGGGAAATTATCATACGTCAGGGTGTGTCAAGAGATCGTGAAGTGCACAGATCGTGAGTGTGATGCATAGAAAATCGTATTGTCCACGGCAGTCTACTCCACTTTAAAGTGTACCAATAGTTAAAAATGAATTTATGCGATCATATCTAATGCTTCCTACAATACTTTCAAATGTTGAGTATTCCTTTGAAGAGCATGCCTCAAAATATGGAATGCGGTGAAACCACATACAAATAAAATGTTGCAATCAGGTATATTACAATAAGAACAGGTCATCGTGAAAAGTGTTTACAATCACAAAATGTTGCTAGTTACTGGGCTATGTTAATCCAGGGCAGGTGAAGCAATTAAAGGCTCGCTAAAAAGGACTGGCGGTGGAAGTCGAGCAATAACAGCGACGACCATAATTCTGCCCCTAACGAAAGCACCAAAAGATAACAGATACCGAAAAGTGAAAGTCAGCCGAACGCACGGGCCATTCCTCTCCTCGCTTTCCTGCATACCACACTTGAGCGTGGGTTACACACATGCAGAATACTACGCAAATTCCACACCACTGATAAAATGACGAATGAGAGCGGTGTCGTCAATACTTTTACTACATTCCTAAACCAGCCGGGGGGATCTGGCCCGGGAAACAGAAGTCGAACATGCCCCCTGGGGTATTCATGTGACTTCTACCGGCTTTTAAACACTTCTCAATAGGTTACCCATCGATTTATCGCAGTGTTATTAATCCTTTGCAGTCTATATAAACTATTAGTTGTACTCCATTTCGTTGGCGACGAGTATATTTAGCAAGTCCCGCAAAAAGTGACTGAAGGACACGTACTCCCGAACGATCCCTGCAACGCCTCAGTACGCATTTCTCAATTATTGAGTTACAACGTTGTTTTCCAGCAGGTGGTGTTTCACCCTCAACGGCTTGCCGCATAAGTTTTGGATTCTGATGACGCATACGAGCGGTGACAAATTGCGGTTTTGGCCAAACCAGCCAGCACGCACCACGAGGGATGTAGCTAGGAATGTTAAATTGTCATTGCATTCATACTAGTTGGAATGCGAATGTTAGAAACAAAAGGATCGGCAAGTTCATTTTCGTACGCGTGGCGTACTTATCGAAGTTTTGCCCATGCCAGGCACTTCTGCGGCACCTCATTGTTGTCGTCTTTGACACGAATGGCGCATTGAGGAGCAAGTTTATTATATTATTATATGATAAATTATATTATATATCATATCAAGCAATGGCGCATTGAGGATCATATTTACTTAGCAAACAAATTGTGTTGTCTGGAGAAGTCTTTTCTACTTAAAACCATACCAACGGTGATAAGCGAGCTTATTTCATCATATACGTAATGCCTGTTTCAACATCTTCACTGTAGAACATTCCCTTTCACAAAATTTTGTTTGCCAAGCCCTTTTATTTCGATCTTAATCGCCACGAAATCATTGATAAAACAATACGCGGTCGGCCATCCATACGCAAACGTTGGCGCGTTTGATCACAGGTGCATCTCCGCGGCTTATTCTGTCAACGAACTGTTTTGGCGCTATTGCCGTCTCCGGGCTGTACTCGCATGAGTGCATGTCTGACCCCGTACATGGTAAAGAGGTCCTGGAACTGCTGGTAGCGGGCACCAGGCGTCGACAGCGCTGCTGCTGCTCTCTTAGGGCCTGCTGCCGCGCTTCCGCTGCTGCTGCTGCTCTCCTAGGGCCTGCTGCTGCGCTGCTGCTGCTATCCTGGGGCCTGCTGCCGCGCTGATGCTCCTCTCCTAGGCCCTGCTGCCGCGCTGCTGCTGCTCTCCTAGGGCCTGCTGCCGTGCTGCTGCTGCTCTCCTCTCCTTCAGTCAGAATTTGTTTCAGAGAGGAGGAGCCCGGAGCTCGGTGAGCACGCGTCACGCCGACTTTTAACTATTTGTCAGAAGCCATCGATGGAAAAAAGGAAAAATCCTGGTCTAAGGAGGGTCCTCAGGTTTCTCAGGTCCTGAGGGCCAGGGTCCGCATGTTTCTCCCTTGGCTGCACCAATGGATGTGGCAGTATGTTGGCAATACTTGCCTTCCTTTATCATGATAGTAAGAAGTCAGATGTTATCGTAACATGCATATGGGCTATCATTCATACAACTGTTACGTAAATGTTTCATATAAAAAGAAATAGATCCAATAGAATGATCCACACTTGCCTCTCTTAACAGCGTGCGTGTTAACGTCGAGGACAATTGTTGTAATTAGACATCAAACAAAACTACATAGGACACAATTTTTACGAAATTTTGAAATGAAAGAATAGAAATAAAGCAAGAAAGTTGGGAGGAAAGGTTTCAGGTCATTCGTCGTTTGCCCAGCTTCCGCCCCCGCCAAGGCTACCGAACATCTTCAACGGAAAACAACATGCATAACAACAACGAAAAAACACATCGCTTGCATTGACTTCCGGCTTCAGCAGCGCCACTCCAGGCGCTTCATGATGTAAGCTATTCGGCTCGCGTGTCAGGATGAGCCGTCTCGACGCGCCTGTCTTGTCCGATATGCACGCGCATGTAATCAAGCATGCTGTAAGCCGGAGTCCGGCGGCTATGCATCCGACGGGACTCTCGCAACGGCCGGCCGTCCTCCTGACGCCCGTCTCGGGGCGCCAAGAGTTCAGCGGGCCGATCCGCAATGCGCCAGTCTGGGAGGTGTTGCCACCTGCTTCTGCACGCCGGGGTGGGTCGGGGGCAGCCGGGGCGGGTTGCTTTCCCCGCAGGCATGCCGGACGGCCGGCGGATGGGTCAGAAGGTCGGATCGGAGTGCTATATAAGCGCGCGGCCCCCCGGACCGTGGTCATCACTCGCGGCCGCCGAGTGACCACGAGTGGACGTCTCCACTACCCAGCGCGTCAGGTGAGACGCCGGCTCCAGCAGCTGTCTCCGACGACGGCAGGCTGACCCGAACACAATGTCCACGGGTCAGGTCAGGCTCGGGATCGGGCTCGGTGTGGTCCACTACAGATGTGGTCTGGTTTATCCCAGACTTAGTTCTGATTGGGTCAAGCTCACTACTTTGACCACTACTTTGACCACTACCGCAACATGCACGAGTACTCGCTATCTCCTACTGCATGGGACTTCCGTTGCTTCGAGGAGGAATTTGAAAACAACGCAGTCAGTCAGTAATTCAATGACGTGCTTTCTGTAAAAGATTTGAAGTAGAGTAAAGCTAAAGGTCTTTGCCGATATTGTAGGAAAAAGACTAGCATGCAGTCAGTATATTTTCCGCCGCAGTTTCTTCGTGGCCAAAAACGAACAAAGACAATGAGGCATCGTTTTTAAAGAAATGGTTATGCAGTGAATATTTTGTCAGCTTCAGGTGGCTGAGCAGAGAAAAACGGCCAAACCTAACCTCAAAATAAGGCCCAAAACAGTTTTTTGCCAGCTTTGTACCACTCTCTTTTCAAAATTACGGGAGACTCGAGCCCCCTTCCCCATCAGGATAGGAAACTACACATCCCGACGGTTCTGTGGGTGCACCTTTCGCTGTCGGTTTGCAAACATGATTGGTTTTGTACCAGTCGTATATTTCACAAACAGGCACAGATACGAGTAAAAAAAAGTCACAAAATAAGATAATTAATCCCGGCAGATGCCATTGTTCGCTATTTTTCCTTGCGTACAAAGCACCGGGCGTGCGGAACACCGATGCGTGTCCTAGACCCGCCTGGCCATCTCACGTTAAATGACAATTTCGGAAGATGATTGTCTTTATCTTTACATATGAGGAACTTGAGCAGACTTGTGTCTGGAACCCCAAAGCAGATCCCAGGATCCCATTGACTTGGAACCCTATGGAATCCTGGATCCCCCCTCAGAACTCAGGTAAAAGTCTGCATTTGGGCATGCTCTCGTAAAGAGTTTGGACCGACCCCGTTAGTGAATTTCTCCCCTACTCATAGCCTGATTGTGAGCACAGTGTAAGTCGAGGCGTAGTTTTTATTTTCGAGCAGTTCAGAAGTCCGAATATGGTAGTCGCTGAGGCCTCTAGGCGGATGCTTATTGCGTCATCCTAGTAACCAATTTTCCCTTTCCGTGCGGACAACGTCGACAGCATTACAGTTCGCCCCAGCGAATGATGGCGGCAGGAGATGCCCTCAGCAAAGATGACAGCCGTCACGATCTATTCGTGCTCTCATTAATTTTTGAACGTTTTTGGTCAGCCTCGATTTCGCACGCTCTATTAAACATCTGATGTGACGTTTCGCTATGCATGTTCACACATAAACACCAAAGAACACACCTCCTTTTGTATAAGCTGCAGCAACGACAGGCCACTTGCCTCTGGTGCACGAATGTACGATCTTGTCTGCACCAACTGATGCTTGTTGCGAGTGTCGTCGTTGCAAGAATGTCTATTGTGCTGTATCGTCTTCTCTTTAGAAGTGATAAATTGGACATGAACAGAAGCGAGACGGCATGAACTCGTTTTCATCGAGCGATGCCCCTAGTCTCCATTTCTTAGCATTCACAAATCGTAGCAAACGTTAGATTCCAGTAGGAGTTGTTTTTTCCTTGCAGCCGATGTCGTAATATGGTCGCAAGAACTGGAATATCGATGCTGGTTTTGGCGGAGGCCCCGAATAGCTGAAGAGTCATACCCACCAAGATGTAGCAACGGATTAGAAAACAAGAGCTGTCAGCGGATAAACTGATGTAGCAACACAACTCTGATGACGCCTGTTGTATGCATGCGTTCATGCATTTGAACCTTGAATGTTTGTATTTTTGTCCCTTAGCCCGCATGTGTGTTTAAAAAGGCAGAAATCTAAAGCTAGCAATACACGCTGGAGGTGCGCAGTTATACGGATGCTGGAATGTTGGTCGAGCAGGAAAACAACACTTACTTATATCAGTCTTGAGCGGAAATCCTTGCCACGCTGCAGGTTGTATCATACAAATTTGCGTGATCATGTAACGTCCTTGAAACAAGCTTTTCTAGTGGGGAGACCAGTGGGCTGTGAAGGAATGTAAAGTCTGTTACAAGTTTGGCGGTTCTGCAGAGTCTGACATGTTCGCTGAAATGGGAAAGTCGCCTGATGCATTGCTTGGAACCTCAGCATTCTACACTATGCGGGAGTTGCCTCCAGCCTGGTTCTCTCCGCTGGCCTCGCTCCTACAGCAAGCATCAGTCGACGCGCACGGCAGGAGCAGCGCCCCACAGCCTCAGGCTGCCATCTCGTGACCCGTCGGCGCCCGTCGGCCTGTGTCGCCCGCTCAGACCAGACTTCGGCCTGTGTCGCCCGGTCAGACCATCCTTCGGCCTGTGTCGCCCGCTCAGACCATCCTTCGGCCTACGTCGCCCGCTCAGACCAGCCTTCGGCCCGCATCGCCCGCTCAGACCAGCCTCCGGCCCGCATCGCCCGCTCAGACCGGCCTTCCGCCGCGGCCGCCCGATGTCGCAGCCGTGGGCGACAGACGTCCGGCGGCAGCGCCGTCACGGACGCCGGCCGGCTGGGCATGCGCGCCGCCCGGCGCCGGCGCCGGCGGGCCGGTCGCGGTGCATCGGCTGCCAGCGCATGGCGTGCCGACCTTGCTCGAACCGGTCCACTCATCCCACGGGCGTGCGGCGCGAAACAGGCGGCGGTACGCGGCTGCAGCCGACGTTACCGGTACGGCATGCCTCGAGGACGCGCCGTAATCTGCAGCCCTGCAGCGCCCAGCCGGCTGGGTATCAATGGCTGGGAGTTGAGTCGGCGTGGCCTCCTTGACCTGAAGTGAAAGGTTTTAAGCACATCAAGGCTATGACAATGCGTCAGCTGTGGACCGGTCTGGGAGCGGAGAGCGATCACCAGATCATACCGCACTGGCAACTGCCTGATAAGCGCAGGGGCCATGCATACAGCGGAATGGTTACCGGACCATGTCTAACGGCGTCGTTAAGCCTTCTCAGAAGGACGCTACCCATCCTGATCATATCTGTTTTGGAAGCGGAGTTTCATGCAATCATTTATCGATTGATTTCGGGTGACTTGCGTTACAAAAGTGTTTCCAAACAGTAATTCAAAACTGACCTGAGATCAATGTGCCACATACTCGATCACACGCGATATGGTCAGGTGCTATGGTCCCTGACGCAGCTTAGTTTGATTGGCGTCAACATCGTGAGAGGTCCCAGAAATTTGGCAAAAATCCGGATATTCGCCACTCATTCTGAACACATCCTCCCATTCGTCGAGTGTTCTGTGGTGGGATAGACACGCGCATGGCGCGAGAAACATTTTCATTGGCATCGTTTTCTTACGGGAGAATATCTGCTGATTCTGCTCCTTCAGCGATGAGTCAACGCTGCATTCCGCTAATAGACTCATACACACACACACACACACACACACACACACACACACACCACACACACACACACACACACACACACACACACACACACACACACACACACACACAACACACACACACACACACACACACACACCACACACTCTCTCTCTCTCTCTCTCTCTCTCCTCTCTCTCTCTCTCTCTCTCTCTCTCTCTCTCTCTCTCTCTCTCTCTCTCTCTCTCTCTCTCTCTCTCTCTCTCTCTCTCTCTCTCTCTCTCTCTCCTCTCTCTCTCTCTCTCTCTCTCTCTCTCTCTCTCTCTCTCTCTCTCTCTTTCTCTCTCTCTCTCTGAGCACGCCCAGCGTATGGACGTGGCCAGCTGGGCCAGCGATGTATCCCCAGCTGGCGGGGTGCGATCAGGGTGCCGCGTCGAGGGTGCGACGTAGCGCACCCCTGCCGCGATAGAGCCGGGCGCTGCCAGGGCCGAGGCAACGCCGGTCCCCGGCCCAACAACGGGGGCGAGCGTAAGTCCAGTCCTTCTCGCGGCCGACCAGGGCGCCTGGCGTGGTGGGCACGCCTTGCCTGCTGGGAGAGAGGGTTACACGCCGGTGCAGAAGTGATTGGACTTGCCTCGCCCCCGATCCGCTGAGCCGCCGTGACCGGCGCTGCCACGCGCCTCAGTCCAATCACGTCTGACCGGTGTGACCCTCTCTTCCAGGATGAAGGCGGTGCTCTGTATCTGTTGGCTGCTGGCCGTCGCTGCCGGCCAGGAGATCGCCGATGTTTACCTGCCCCCGGGACAGGCGGGCGGCTCCAGCAGCGGCGTCCAGTGCCCGCCTCAGAGGGTTATCACCAGCTTCACCACCAACTTCGTGATCGACACGCAGGTCCAGGTCGTCACCAACCCAGTGGTGCAGTTCGTGACGCAGTCGGTGGTGTCCACGCGGGTGGTGCCCTCCGAGGTTGTGCGCACGTCCGTTTACCAGAGCCAGTTGGTGGTGCCACGGGACGTCGTGCGCACGTCCCAGGTCACCCGTTTCGTCACGGAGCGGCGGACCGTGCCCGGCGCCGTCCGCGAGGTGGTGCGCACTACCCAGCAGGTGGTGGTGAACACACAGCTCCAGGAGCGGGTCAGCACGGTCCAGAGCGTGCGGGTGCGCACGACGCTCCTTCTGCGCACCGACTTCCGCACGCGTGTCGAGACGCGCACAGTGCGCGTGCCGCAGGTGCAGGTGGTCACGCAGACCCAAGCCGTGCCCGGCCCGGCTGTGGTCGTCACGGAGACGCGGGAGCGCGTTACCACGCGCGTTGTCACGCAGCCCGCACAGCCGGTCTACTCCACTTTCGTCGTGCAGGACGTGCGCGTCAGCACGCGCTCGGTGCCCGTGCCGGGCGGCGTGCGCACGTCCATTCAGTATGTGTCGTCCAGGCGGGTGGTTCCCGTGCAGTCGGAGGTGCTGGTGCCACAGATCCGCACCGTCCAAGCCACGTCCACACGCCTATTCGAGCGCACACTCTTCCAGACGTACACGTCGCAGCAGGTCATCCCCGTCCAGGTGGTCAACACGAAGTTCGTCGACTCGCGGGTTGTACGCACACAGAATGTGCAGGTGACGAGCACGCAGATCCAGGAGAACACGCGCTTCGTGACAGTGCAGGAGCCTTCGCAGCCTGTCTTCAGCACGGTCTTTAACACCAAGGTCCGCTATGTCACCGTACCCGGCCAGGTGATCCCGGTGGTGCAGACGAAGTTCGTCGAGCAGATTGTGAACCGGGAGGTGGTATCGACGCAGGTGGTGCCGAAGATTGTAGACCGGACCGTGGTTGCGGCCGGCCCCTGCATTCAGCACGGCAGCGGCGGCGGTGGCGGCGGCGGGCGCGGGTCTCACGGCTGGCGGGAGCGGGTCTCACGGCGCCGGACACTACGGCAGCTATCGGAGGCCATACTACTGAAGTGCTTGGGGATTCAGTGGCAGTTATGTCCGGCTACTGCTTAAACTATGGGTCAACTAAAGTCGGCTAAGCGTCTCATCCTGTTTCATACACACTTGAGATAGTAGGTGTCCAACACACCGACAAACCTTGGGTCATATTGCCATTGGAACTTGGACAAGCACTTAAAGAATGCTCGCGTAAATCTTGTTCCCTTGTTTTTTACCTGTAACTATGGAAAAACTAGGGGAGAACCGATTGATGAAAACAAGGCCCTGTTCGCGAGTAACGTGCGGAAGGATTGGCGAAGTGTCAATAAACATATACCATGATAGAAACCACATTCGCCGCATAACGACAACAAGCAATGATATCATCATGCCTGAAGCCCCGGCCGCAGTTCTGGGTAAGTGCCCTGCTTGCAATTTATACATTCGTGAATATTGCGTCCATTCATGCAGGCTACGTGATTTGTCTCACGCGCCTCGCTCCCTCTCTCTCTTGCAGGATGCGTCGTTCCCTTGCGGTTCTGGTAGGCCTGCTGGCCGTAAGTCAAGCCCAAAAGGACGGCTACGGCTACGGCAACAAAGTCCCTTCCGCCGGCTCCGGTCTGCTGAACCTTTTCAGCAGCGGCGGTTGCGACAGCGCCACCGGCATCGGCTGTGGCGGAAGTAACATCATCAGCGGTGGCATCGTTAGCAGTGGCTGCGACACCTCCACCGGCATCGGCTGTGGCGGAAGTGACGTCATTAGCGGTGGCATCGTCGGCGGTGGCTGCGATACCTCCACCGGCATCGGCTGTGGCGCAAGTAACGTCATTAGCGGTGGCATCGTCGGCGGTGGCTGCGACACCTCCACCGGCGTCGGCTGTGCCGGAAGTGACGTCATTAGCGGTGGCATCGTCGGCGGTGGCTGCGACACCTCCACCGGCATCGGCTGTGGCGGAGGTGACGTCATTAGCGGTGGCATCGTCGGCGGCGGCGTTGGCGGCGGTGGAAACGTTGCCTGCCCTGGCCCCCGTGTGGTCTTCGTGCCGCGCGTGCAGACCCAAATCCAGCAGGTAGTTAGCACGCAGAACGTGCCGCAGATCCGTACGCAGTTCGTCACGCGCACCTCCCGTGTGACCTCGTTCGTTACACGCACGGTGGTCCAGACCAACGTACAGACAAGAACCGTCTTCAACACGCGCACACAGACGCAGTTCGTCACGCAGCAGGTGGTCTCCACCGTGCGGCTGCCGGACACCGTCAACACGCGCTTCGAGACGCGATTCCGCACAGAGGTGCAGACTCGGTTCACCACCAGAACGGTGGTGGTGACGAGCCAGGTGGTGCAGACGAGCTTCAGCACCGTCCTCTCGACGCGTGTGGTGCAGACCACCGTGCGGGTGCCGCAGGTGTCGCGGCGCACCACGGTGCTGCGAGTGCCGGGACCGGCGCAGACGCAAGTCCGAACAGTGTTCACCACTCGCGAGGTCATCAGCTACCGGAACGCGGCGCCCCAGACCATTGTCAGGACACGCACCAACGTACAGGTGAGGCCGGTCGCTGCTGGGACGGGGCACATTGAATCTGCCTCTGCGGCAGCATCCTCGGCGCGTTCGAGCTGATGTTGGCATAACCCACAGATCAGGTTTCCTCCAGAACTGCTGGATGTTTGATGGCTCATCCGTGCCGTCACAAATCGCGGAGCGAGTAATGCGGCCTGATTAGTGCTGCAGGTTCGGACGCATCACTGAACCGTGTCTTATCCTGTGTCCACAGACCCAGGTGGTGACGCAGCCCATCCAGCAGCCTGACCAGACCGTCACCGTCACCAGCGTCAGCGTGGTGCCCGTCACTTCGGTGGTGCTCGTCACCCGCTTCGTGCCCCAGGTGTCGACCGTCACGCGCACGGTCGCCAACACGGTCACGCGCACGCAGTTCACCACCCAGATCGTGCCGGTGCAGTCGACTGTGGTACGGGAGGTGCTGCGCACGCGGTTCAACACCGACTTCGTCACCAACACGCAGCAGGTGGTGAAGACCCGGGTCCAGGAGCGCGTGGAGACGGTGCGTCTGCCGTCACCGCCGCAGACGGTGGTGCGCCAGCAGCAGGTCGATGTCGTGTCGACGGTGCGCGGTGCCGACACCTTCAACACACGGTTCGTCACCGTGAACCGGCCGCGTGAGGTGGTCACCACACGTGTCGTGCAGCAGGTCCAGCAGCAGGAGCGGTTGGTGACGAAGATTAAGCCCGGTGGGTACTGCGGCGGACAAAGCGGACAAAGCGGACACAGCGGACACGGCGGACACGGCGGTCCTGGCGGATATGGTGGATATCGGGGATACGGAAGTCATGGTGGCTACGGCTACCATAGGAGGTACTGAGCCGTTGCCAGCTTGATCAGGGAAGGCTACCGACGGTGTGAGTTGGGAAGGGTCAGACATTTGAAATTGGGAGGTTCAAACTTCGTTGCACACGCTGTATGTACAGTGACTGGTGTCGCGTTGTGGGTTGATACGAAATCCCCTTCAAAGATTGCTTCCACAGATACTCGAATGTATCGCAAAACTGAAGAGAGCATTGCTCACGTGTGCCCTTGAAAACCATGTAATACATACGATAACATCAGAGCTATCTGTGTGGTAGCAAAAGCAGCGACAGGAAATTAAACAAGTGAGTGGAACTATCTTTTCAAGCATGGAGATGCATGGACGATATATGTACGACTGTAGGATACATGGAAATAACGTGCATCGCTTGGGTGTACCTAATGCCGCCACGTTGCACGGTGAGGGCTTCAATCAGATGCACAAAAAACGTGATGAAAGCCGGCGCTTGCACGTGTGTGTCTGCTTTCACTATACTTTGCACACCTGGGGGTGCTCGCAGATCGGATGCGTAGGAGGTAAACTGAAGACTACGGCGTCCGCAGCCAGGAAGGCTGTTGGGAACAATAACCCAAAAACCTCGAGGAAGCGTTTGTCGCACGGTTGGATCCTTTGCGCCAGTTACCGAGCCTCTCGGTGCTGAGTGGTTGCGTACGCATCAGTCAGGATTAAGGGAAATCCAGAAGGTCATCGGCTGTGCCCAGTACCACTTTCTAATCCTTCGGCAGAGACGTTGTGCGCATAGCTTGCAGCCGTCTCCATGGCGCGGGTCACGACTGGCTACCCACGCTCTTTTATGCAACACACTTGAAATGCTCGTTGCTTTGTGTTGTCAACCAGCAGTCTTGCAGACAAAGCTATACTGCTTGTAGGCAGCCATGGACTGGTGACGAGGCAACTCGCGTGAGTTTGTTTCATACCATCCACGCCATAATTGCGATCGATGCACTGGTCAAATCGCGGCCAAGTCAAAACAGCTTATCTTAAGGTTATCCAATGCCCTAAACGGAGGCTGTTTTACCGAACAGATGACCTTGCAGTAGGTTCACCACTGCAGGCCCTGTCTGCCCAAGGCTTTATGTCCTCGTTTGATGAAGAAGCTTCAGCGTATGATGTCATTACACCTCACATACAAGTGCGATATGTTGATAACGTTTTGAAGGACATCAAAGATCTTACCGCTCGGAACGCGCTGGGAGCGAGAATGGGACATGCATCAGACCTGACTCATGCCAGAGAGAGGAGTTTGTGACATACAGATATTTTTTGGACGCATCAATCAAGGCTTGAGGCAAAACCTTCACAACCAGCACCCGCCAAAAGCCTATTGACGCCAGCAAATAATTGAACGGAAAAAGCACGCGCCCCCACTGGCACAACCAGCGTGATATGAGAAAATATCCACTATGCCATTAAACATCATCATATATATATAAACATATAAATATCACAAATGCCATATTCGTCCTGCTCTTGCACACCAGGGGCTAAGGCATGCCCAGAAAATCCAAGTTGACAATGAATGCGACATGCGCATTGTGGAAAATAGAGCACCAGAAAACGCACATGCTCTTCAAAAGGATGATGTTACCTGATTACCACGCTTGTGAGAAACCCCTACATCACTGTAAAATATCCATCACAACGGTTGATTACAAAACTTCTATTACTCAAGTTCAAATGTACGTTCTCTGTTGATGAAAACCATCACATTATTCGCGCCGCTCAAAGAAAACAATGCCATATATCTCTACGAATTAAGCACAGAAGTCTGCGCGCTCCTACCTAATGCTGCATTTAATTGTTTGCGGGCTTGCTTTGCTAAGCACTGACTGAGGGCTGAGCTGACTTGGGAAACGCATGCGGAGACGTGTCGCGTCGCGTGGATGTTTGCATTATTTCGGGATGAATTCAGCATCACCCATAGGGTTTCCTGTCGTTGCCGCTACCATTCGGACCTCTGGCTGACCGGGTGCCTGACGAGAACCGGGAGTGATATGCTGGCACTAGCAGGGACTTGTGAAGGCCATGGGAAACAAAAGTTCATCTGTAAACCAGTTCTCGTGCAGCGGCGTGGTGTGAATCGCTGCTAACTTGGACAGGAATCAGCCGGTGGTCGCTCACCCTCTCTCCACCCTCTTGATTCACGTAGCGGTCGTGGGAGGCGCTCTGACAAGCGTCTGCAGAACTCCATTTGATTTGTTTTAAGAAGGACTCGTGAACGTGTGGGGACAGCCTTATCTAGAAGCTGATATAAACGCTGCCGTAACGCTTACCGCCTTTGCATCATATGCCCATGCATCAAAGCTGATGAAAAACGCCAAAGTAGTAGTGCACCCACTGGTCCGAATCCGTCGTTTAAGGTATTCCGATGTAATTTGTCGGACATCTGCTTACACAGATAAGATCAGCAATGGTTCAGATGTTAAATCTTACCCTTCAAATTATTTCCACTACGGCTTCAGCGCGGTCACGCACTTCGAAATCTTCAAGGAAGCCCTTCTTGTTGTCAAAGCAAATGCCGTGTCTCCCTAGGTTCACCTCAGGCCACTTGGCAATGCTGCCGCAATAACCCTGTTCTCAGACTCTGCAGCACTCCAGAACCCGGGTGTAGAGAAAAGTAGGCATAGAAAGAGTATGCATGTCAATTACTCTTAAGAAAAGCACGTACACCTAATGAGAAGGGACGCATAGATCTCGGAAAAAGTTTGTGACGATCAAGTTCGTTCGCGCAAAAGCTCGTATCGAGAATGATCGTAATCTATTGTTTGTACGCAAATGTTTGGGCGAAAATGTTGGTCCACTATAACATTCTTCTGACAAAAATAAGGAAAGGGTTGCATTTTGGTATATAATCTAAGTACGCAAAGTTTGCGTGCAAATGCTCACCAGTAATTGAGTTTGTCTGACAAAAGTACGTACGTAAAACTCCGCATGCCATATGTACTGTACACTGGAGCGCGGGTGTCGCTTTGTATTATGTTGGGTGGCCTCTGCCACTCTCGATCTCCAAGCTGCCCCCCGCAGTGACTTTGGCCCTCAACCTTCCGGAGCATAAGCACAAACATGACATTAAGAATGGGAGATTAACATTATGTAAATTCTAAAGAATATCTCTAAAAATGTTTCACGTGTACAGGACCACAGAAAGTTACAGCTGCGACGCCATATGCAGTTTACTGCAGCTGACTGAGCGAATGGCACTTTAAGAGCCATGCGTTTGTACAAAGTTTTATGCTTAGGCTGCATGTTTTTAAATGCATGGTGCTTATGTCTTGTTGACTCCGGTATTGTCTCCTGGTTCTACACACTGCAATAAGTAGCGTTATTCTGCCGTGACGACTTATCGGATAATTAAAAGAAACCGGTCTCATATTAACATCCAACAACATCACGAAATTGCCAGCCGCCTACGCTCGGAGCAACTCTTAAGATGTGCCGATCCGTACTTTGACGTGAAAAGTCGATGGAGCAGTTATGCAAACCTGACGACCAGCATCAGCTAACTGAACCGATGGCGACAACCGTCCGACATCGGACACGAAAACAACACTAGCTATGCCGAACATTCTGACGCGATTGCTACCTTGTAGCCCGCCGCCTGCCTTGCGGCTACCGGGTGGGTTTTCCGTGACAGCCTTCAATAATCGCACACACCAACTTACCCTCTTTATTTCCGAGGTCGTGCGCATGCGACGACTCCTGAAGCCCTGCAACAACGACCATGCGTTGACTTCTGAAACCTGGCTCGACCATCAGCTTCCAAAAAATGATAATGATGCTCCACGAGAACACCTACCGTCGAGACAGGACGAGGAAACGTAGAAGCAGGTGTGAAGTTTTCTTTTGAGCTGAGGGATTCCAACTTGCTTTGGGAGAAAAACGGGTCTGGTCAGAGGAATGCCAGCTTTTAGTTTATTTTAGTGGTGGGGTTAGTCATTTTGTCCGCTCATCCCCCACAAACGTTTTTTGCGAAACTGCAAACCTGTAGTGGAGGTTTGCAGACCGTGACGCGCGACAGATTCGCGACTACATTTTAGCGGCGTTCCGCCCACAGCACAGCTCCCAAGTGGTAACCAACTGGGTTAAAAAGCAGGTGGGTCAAAATCTCTTGTCGGTGATCGGCTGCTAACACCAATTACGTGGCGGCGTTAGTTTTCAAGGATTTCTTCTGCGCTGAACACATGTATAAACTGCATCGTGTTCTCGCACCACACATTGCACAGAAATCATATACCGAGCGAACGAAATTAAGATCGACAGCACTGAAATTCGGAGTAAAAAATTGGTATGACTCAACCACATAAATCTGGAAACCACATTTTTGGTGTAGCAAACAGCATAAAATATGCATTCATTGCTCGGAATTTATCGACACAAAAGGATGTATGGTAAAAACAATAGGCATGAACACCAATAGCAGGTTTCACACGCGTATCGTATTTGTTCTGACCACTTCGGTGGCGCCATTGGTTAATGGATATGCGAATGCTGGGGAGAGATCTTTGGTTTAAGCAAGGCCTCGGTATGATTTTTCTCGATTGACTCCCTTCCAGGCGATGGCAGCATTTTGGGGAGGGACTGCCCTGCTCCGGCATAACGCTGCGTCAACCAGCGCTCGCGCCAGGTCGCAGGTATTGTCCACCTATGCATAAACCATTCGGCACGGTCGCGCAATCCGAGGTCGCGGCCTCGCTATGACTTGTCGGAACAGTCGTCTGACCTCCGCGTCTGAGAAATCGGCATTGACCTCAGCATGTGCTCGTGGTTAGACAGGCAGGCATCCTGACAACGAGCGCGTTGTCAAGACCGCCCCTCAAGGGTGCCGGAAATGTAACATTTGCATTTTACAATGGACAGTGTCTGCGGTCGGCGATGATCATGGGTGACATCATACATAACTTCCTGCACGAGGACAGCCGACATTGCGTGCGTCGACTTCGTCAGGTGTTGACACAGTTTTTACGCATTCAGGTTGTGTTCGCACTAACGTTCCAATTACCCAGTGGATGTGAGTCTTCGCTGGACGTGGTTATCCCCAACTCTCCGAGCCAGATCAAACACACGACAGCAGCTGGATCGTCGAGATCGCCGACAGCGCGCAGTCAGCCAATCCGACCGTCGTGAAAACATCTAATGGCACATAGAGACAGCGGGACACAGAGGCGAGCATCGCGCTATCCGTAGCTTCGTCGGTGGCAGGGGACCCTCGCTAGCAAAGCTTCTAAGTGAGCTGGTGGGCCAGGCCAACGAGCTCGTCGATTGCATCAGGAGGAAGACCTCCGACAGG